AGCTGTAGCAGGTCCATAAGGGTTGCAGGCCTCGGAACTCACCCGCGCGGTCCGCACAAAAAGGAGTGCGGCTGTGGTATGTGCTATGCGGACCGCACAAAATGAAGTGCGGCCGCGGTAGGTGTTGTGCGGACCGCACAAAATGGTGTGCGGCCGTGGTGAAGAACATTCCGCTGGTCCTACTTCGAAAGCTCATATATTTTGATCTACAAGGAATTTTGGGATGATTCGAAAACAAAGGTTGTAGCCCTTCGTATCTAGTTTCCAGAAAGGTAAAGATATCACAATTTGGACACTTGTAGTGAACGTTATGGAGAAAATACTAAAGTCTGTCATTGCAGAGGAAAGCCTGTGCGGCCGCGGTCGTTTTTGTGCGGACCGCAGTCGATTTTGTGCAGTCCGCGGAGGTGGAAATCTGTGGGGTACTCTATAAATATGAGGTTTTGGGTTTTATTTGATATTTTGACCTACAGAGCTCGGATTTTGGCGATTTTTGAAGGTTTTTTAAGAAATTCATCGGGGTAAGTGATTGTAACTCTAATTTGGCTAGAGTACATGAATCTATCATTGAATTCATCATTTAATTCGTGATTTGAGATGGAATTTGGGAAGAAAATTATGAAATCTTTCAAAAATGTAAAATGATTATTTGAAGGACCAAATGGTATCGGAATTGGATAATTTTCATATGGTTAGACTCGTGAGAGTATAAGGATTCGAGTTTTGTGAATTTTGTCAAATTCCGAGATGTGGGCCCGGGGGTCAGGTTTGACCAAATTCTAGAATTTTGTGGTAATTCGATTATTTTCGCTTGGGCTTTGTTCCCTTAGCCTATTGTGATGTATTCGTTCTGATTTTGGATAGATTCGACGCGCGTGGAGGTCGATTCGAGGGGCAAAGGCATCCGAGATAGAGATTTAGCCGATTCGAGGTGAGTAATGATTGTAAATGATGCTCTGAGGGTTTGAAACCCCGGATCGCACATCGTAGTGCTATATTGAGGTGAGACACGCGCTCAATGATGAGCGTGGGGTCTTTTACTACTAGGGATTGAGACTTGGTCCGTCCCTACTGATGATTTTACCGCGTATTTGGCTGAACTTATTTGTTATCATCATGATTTAGGGCTAATTGTCATATTTGGGCTTCGTGCCAACTATTTGAACCCTTCGGGGATTTTGACTGATTCTCCTCACTATACTTGTTAAAAATCGTATCCTCGGTCATGTTTCTCTCTATTTTAAACGATTCGAGCCGGTTTTTGTCATACGATTCCTAAGTGAGAGGAATTTGTGGGCTGAGATCCCTATCTTCTATTATTGTACCCGAGAGGCTGTGAGGTTAATGACTGAGAGGGGTTGAGAATCCAATGGTGAGGATATTATATATGATATGGATCGGGCTGCACGCCACAACAATATAGCGCTTGGGCTGTAGGAGCCCTTCCAGAGTCTGCACACCCTCAATGAGCGCAGTCGACTATCTATATGGATCGGGATGCACGCTGCAGCGATGTACGGATCGGGCTGCACGCCGCAGCGGTTATTCTGTTTCTGTTATTATGAGAGATATATGGGTCGAGAGCTGAGAATGAGCACCAAGTGATGAGAGTGAGCCCGAGGAGCTGATACTGTTATGAGTGATTGACAATGTGCTCGAGGGGTGAATTTCTACTTGTTATTTACCTGCTAAATTACCGTTTTACCTAATTTAAAGAGATTTCACTTGTCGTCTTCACTGATTTACTGCTTTAAGTGATTTTTACTAATTGATATAGAATTGCTTTGTGCCTTTACGTGTTTTTTTGCTTTCAGCCATTATTTATGATTATTATTCACTGAGTCGGAGTACTCACATTACTCCCTGCATCGTGTGTGCAGATTCAGGCATCGCAGAGTCCGCTCTTGAGTGTTGATCCTCCCAGTCCAGGTAGTGTTTTCGGAGACTACGAGGTAGTTGTTGGCGTCCGCAGTCCCGTGCCTCCCTTATCTTACAATTTTCATGTCCTTGAACTTCTGTATCGGATTTTGTATCTAGTAGACCGGTATTCGGATTTCTCTTAGTTTCTCATGACTTGTGACACCCCGGTTTGGGCTGTGTCGGAATGGTTCTTACTGAGGTTATCGTTAATTCCGCAAATTATGGATATTATATCATGCTTTAGAACTATATATGATATTTAACTGTTTAAAAGAGGTGTTCTGTTTGGTCTGGATGGCCTTGTCTTCACGAGAGGCGCCATCACAATCGGGTTCGGAAATTGAGTCGTGACAACTATACTTTTATAATAATGCAAATGAGTTTGGAAATAAAATGGCTTGTTCAGACAAATTAAATGAATCAATAGTGAAAGAATTGATGGACATACTAAAGGATGATTCGTACTCAGTATTTCTACGATCCTTGGCAGACATGTCAAACTTGCAAAAACTTTCATATAGCACTGAAAAGTGATGCTGGATTGGATCAACGCGTATGTAATTTACCTACTACTACTGAAATTGCAGCAATATGGGTTGATAAAAATGATGGTTCTACTACTCATGCACCACATCTTCATATTTATACTCACAGTGATAGGACACAAAGAGTGCACTACTATTTTGGATGTTATGACCCTTTACAGTACCCATTGTTATTTCTATATGGTCAAGGCGGATGGCATTGTGGTATTAAAAAGTTTCCCAAAGCAAAAAATATTCGTAGAAGTCGCACTCTGGCTGAATTTGAACAATTGCCGAGTATAAAAAATTTCATATCTGTTGATGGATATCTTGATATAGAAGCTCAAAATCTGCAAAAAGGAAAACACAAAAGAGATGCAGTTTCAGTTCGCAAATACTACTGTTACAAACTTCAGATGAGAAACGATGATAAAGATGAAATTTTGCATACAGGAAGATTACTCCAGCAGTATTCAGTAGATGAATATATAAAATTGGAGACACAAAGATTAGACTTTGTTTCATTCAATCAAGATTTATTCAGAATGGGTATACTGGAGGGACTTCTTGATATTCTAAGACTTGGTGAACGAGATGCTTCTAATGTTGGAAAACAAAATTTTCTGCCAAATTCTTTTATAGGAAGTCCTAGAGATATGCATCAGCATTATATGGATGCTATTGCATTAGTGCAACATTTCGAAAAACCTGATTTGTTTATAACTATGACATGTAACCCATCTTGGACAGAAATAAAAGAACATCTATGGTCAACTAACGAGGCACAAAATAGACCTGATTTGGTTACTCGAGTGTTCAAGGCTAAAATAGAAGAACTAAAGACGGATATATTAAAAAGAAATATCTTTGGAAAAGTTATTGCTTTTATGATTTGGTTACTCGGATGTTCAAGGCTAAAATAGAAGAACTGAAGATGGATATATTAAAATGAAATATCTTTGGAAAAGTTGTTACTTTTATGTACACTAAGGAGTTTCAGAAATGAGGTTTACCCCATGCTCATTTTCTTGTTATACTAGGTAATGAGCACAAACTACTGACAATAGAGGCATACGATGATATTATTAGCGTTACAAAAATTTGTAACACTTTGTAGTCTTCGATTATTGATTCTTCAAATTGCTCCCATAATTTTCTAGGGTTGGCAGGGTTGCAATATACCAATAATGTAGCAAATAAACGCCTTAAACTATATGGCATTTGGTAACTTGCAGCTTCAAACATACACTATATCAAACTATTATCACATTGTAACAATCCTCTTTTCTCTACGGACTCTCTGAAAGCACTACAAGGCTCTCCATTCACTGTCAAAAGATCCTTATATGATGTTGGTCCTCTTACATGTATTAGTAGTAATCTAAGATAATATCGTTCTCCTTCTATTGGATGACATGTCACAATGCGGCCAACAACACAACGCTTTTGTCTACGTTCCCAAAATTTATCACTGAAGGACCACACAAATTATTCAGGAAATTCTTTATACATTAAATTGAGCTCTTTAGCATCTTCATTAGTTTCGTTCATGGAGAAAAATTCCGTTAACATTATTTTTTGAATCTTCGGATTATTCACAATTGTGTGTATATCCGCATTGCTCTTAAAAGAAATAAATTATTGACCTTCAAGATGTAGTTGAAGAAGATAAACACTGGGAGACATTTCACTTATTGGAAAACCAAAGAGACACCAAACAACTTCTGGAGGTGATACCCATCTAGCAGATCGATATTCTTTTATCTTATCTATTTCTATGTTTGTATCATTATTTTGTACACAAAATGGAATCTTATCATGTTCTTTACAAATGTATTTGTAGAGATATTTCACGACCTTGATGTCAGAGCAAACTTCAACATTTAAATGACAATTGAATTTGAACAACCCAGGAGATATCTAAATATCGTTCTCTTACTTTCACAACTTCCCCTGTATTTCGTCTTCTATAGACTGGATAAGAATCGTTTCCTTTTATTGTCTGATCGGCAAACATTTTTGGATATTTGAACTTGCAGTAACCTTTTTTTTCATAGAAGAATTTGTTGGGTCTAAACTACCGCAAGGACCGAGCATCATATGTTTGATGACAAGCTTGCGCAAATCTGTGTTTGTCTTATCATCTGGTAATTCTGCTATAATAATATCATCGTATGCTTCTGTTGTTAGCAGTTTGTGCTCATTACCTAGTATAATAAGAAAATGAGCATGGGGTAAATCTCGTTTATGAAACTCCACAATGTACATAAAAGAAACAACTTTTCCAAAGATATTTCATTTTAATATACCCGTCTTCAGTTCTTCTATTATAGCCTTAAACACTCGAGTAATCAAATCAGGTCTATTTTGTGCCTCGTCAATTGACCATAGATGTTCTTTTATTTCTGTCCAAGATGGGTTACATGTCATAGTTATAAACAAATTAGGTTTTCCGAAATGTTGCACTAATGCAATAGCATCCATATAACGCTAACGTATATCTCTAGGACCTCCTATAAAGGAATTTGGCAATTTTGTTTTCCAACATTACAAGCATCTCGTTCACCAAACCTTAGAATATCAAGAAGTCCATGCAGTATACACATTCTAAATAAATCTTGATTGAATGAAATAAAGTCTAATCTTTGTGTCTCCAATTTTATATATTCATCAACTGAATACTGTAATCTTCCTGTATGTAAAATTTCATCTTCATCATCGTTTCTCATCTGAAGTTTGTAACAGTAGTATTCGCGAACTAAAACTGCATCTCTTTTGCGTTTTCCTTTTTCCAGATTTTGAGCTTCTACATCAAGACATCCATCAACAGATGTGAAATTTTTTATACTTGGCAATTGTGCAAATTAAGCCAGAGTGCGACTTCTACGAATATTTTTTGCTTTGGGAAACTTTTTAATACCAAAATGCCATCCGTCTTGATCATATGGAAATAACAATGAGTACTATAACGGGTCATAACATCAAAAATAGTAGTGCACTCTTTGTGTCCTGTCACTGTGAGTATAAATTTGAAGATGTGGTGCATGAGTAGTAGAACCATCATTTTCATCAACCCATATTGCTGCAATTTCAGTAGTAATAGGTAAATTATATACGCGTTGATCCAATCCAGCATCACTTTTCAGTGCTATATGAAAGTTTTGCAAGTTTGACATGTCTGCCAAGGATTGTAGAAATATTGAGTACGGATTATCCTTTAGTATGTCCATCAATTCTTTCATTATTAATTCATTTAATTTGTCTGAACAAGCCATTCTATTTCCAAGCTCATTTGCATTATTATACCTTCTTAAACTGCTGTAGCAACTCAACTGTGTGCCTCAAAAATAAAAGTGTAGGTTCAGTACAAACGTAGGTTTTCAGTCATACAGCTCTAAATATTTACAATAACCAACAAAAAAACAATCAGGGAAAACTTTTGTTAATGTAGCAATCGTTTAAGTTTATCTTTTCGTTATGATTGACTGTTGTTACCTAATTAGGCTTTGGCTGTGCGCTAATCCATTTTGGCTTACTTTGTAGCTTTTCTTCTTATCATTTAGAAATATTAATAAAAGCAGGATAGATCTATTAATCATTATCACCATCTAATTATTACTTAAAATGAAAAAACATAGTGACAGTGGAATATTGTATGGAAAAAACTTCAGTGATATAGTTAATCGAGACATTGTCTTCTTACGTTGAAAGGAAGATATTTGGAACAAAGTAACATCATGTAGCATTCATTTAATGCACAGGAAATAGTAGAAGAAATCACAAATTTTACTTTCTTCATTACTTTCTTTTACTGCAGATTCGCATATTTGGTATCTGGTAATAGGGCTTACAACAATGATCTTCTTTCTTCTCTGTACCTTAATTTTGAGACAGTGACATTACTCTTTCTGTAGAGAATAATTTTATGAGTATTTTCAATGCACAATGTGTTGTATATTGACCAGGACTGCAACTTATTTTTGGCTTTGTAGAACTACAGATGCTTCTCTTACATTCGGTACCACCAAAATAATCGCTCAATGGGCTTAGCACTGCACAGGTAACCGACTATTTTATCTTTGTATATTTGTACACGTTGGCTCCTATTAACAGATTCTATGTTCCTCCTTCCCGTCGTACGGCTAATAATTAATGTTGTGCACCGTTTTTGTTTCTACAAGTTATGCTATTGTGCTAGAGGAGAGAAAGAGGTCTTTTGCAAAGTGAGACATTGCAATGCTTCAAAAGGATGTAGATTTTGCAAGCGTAATGTTCTGATACAAGAAATGGACGTTCCCATTGCCGCACTTCGACAAGGGGAGAGCTCTATAAATGACAACAACAATGTGGTTCCAAATTTATCTTGCCTAGATAAGAGTCAATCAGATATGCAGTTCCCAATAGAAGCATATTAGTGAAATATATTATTTTCAGTAACCTATAAATTATGGCTGAGTTATTATTCCATAATATTGTAGGCTTTAATGAAGAATGCCTCTCTTAGATTGGTTGAGATGAATACTCCAGTTTCTCATTTCAATCAAAATCGGGCTACTTTGGAAGGAGTACTTTTGAATTTTTAGTTTCAGTGTTGCAACAGTTCAGTTGACGTAATAGTTTATTAATTTTTATAGTAATTCTAATTTCTACCACTTACACATATTTGTATCAGCTCACCTGCTGCAAAACCATATATTTGTTTTTGGTAACATATGAATTAGAAACAACAGGATTAAAAAGTGAGATTTTTGTAGTAGCTATGTAGTCTTCTTTTTTCTCTTTTGAGTAACATCTCACTAATATAGTTATGTTCACGTTGGGCCCGGGCTTTGCCCGGGTTACCCCTCCACTAGTATATTTTATAAATGATCATAGCAATCATCACTAGGTGCTATTACCAATTAGGTTGCTCATGTAGAGTTGCAATCAATTACAAAAGATACCACAAGCACAATATTTTTTAAGCTGATATACCATACACTCATCGAAATCTTATTCCCTACTAGCCGTAGTTAAAACATGCAACCCCTTTTTTCTCCAAAATTTACTTCAAACAACAATGTTTCTACATATTTAATGTACAAGTCTTAAGCAACAAGAAGTGAATCTTATATATGAATGTTTTGACATTCACAGACAAAAACTATCAGAGTATCCCCAACTAAAAGAATGTTCAAGAAGGTGGTTCCTGATATTCACGTCATAATTCTATGAGCAGCGCTATAATCACATGCAAAACGAAACTCTTTACTATTCATTGAAAAAGAAACTCAGATAATAACAGCAGAAGAAAACATTAAATAACTTTCGAACCAATCTATCAGAGTCTTATTACACTTTGATAGAGTTGAAATAGATGAAAACTAAGATTAAAGCATTAACAGATTGAAAACACAAAGCGGGGGATGTATGAAAATATCAGAAAATGTGCACACGTGATAATAAGAGAAGGAAAGAGCAAAGGACCTCCCGAAGAATCGTATGTCGATTCTCAGGCACCTGCTTTCTTAATAATTTGTTCGTAAACGATATTAGAGGTAGAATGATCGTCATGGCTAGTTGGTGTCGATGGCCGAATCAACAACTTTACACAATTTGAACTTTTTGCTCTTGATAAGGCAACATAAAGCTAACTGTGTGAAAATACAGGTTCCCGCAAAAAAATTCCAACAAAATCTAAAGTTTGACCTTGTGCTTTATTTATAGTCATAGCAAAGCATAATCTAATAGGAAATTGTGTTCTTTTGAACTGAACAGGTGTTTTCTCATCCTGTGATGATAATAATAGTATTCTTGGGATAAACACATGCATATTCTTGAAATCACCTACCGTGATCTTAGCGCTAATAAAATGACTTTTAAAATCACAATAGGTCAATCGCGTACCATTACATAAACCTTCACATGGATTTTGATTTCGTAATAATATTATTGGACCTCTTTTAAACATAATTTATAAGGAGGCAAACCAGGAGGATTTAAAGTGTGTAGTAGATCTTCAAGTTGTGTTTAGTTGTTAAATTCAATAGCCTCATCAGTAGCAATAAATATTTTTGATTTTCCTGCGAATCGATCAATAAGCATATCATTAATTTCATCAACGAAATTATTTTTTGTTGTCAAGATCACACGGGAATCAATATAGGATAAATTAGAATATAACGAATCCAAATTTGAATATGTCGTTGCGAATAATTTATCAAGAGATTCTCTTTCGGTTGTATAAGGAATAATAAAAGAATCTGGAATTTCAATCTTGTCTGCTAAGTTGACTCGTTTTTGTCTATTTTCAATTCTTAGCAAATAATCACAAAATGCAAGATCTGTTTTAGCTCTCATATTCTCAGATAACTTTAATTTTTCAAGTTCATTCCAAATGCTAGAATATAACAAACTTTCGCCAATGAAATCTTCTTTTTTTTCCGTATCGCACAACAGGAAGAGTCTGTCTGAAATCACCTCCTAAAACTACAACTTTTCCGCCAAATAATGCATTTGTATTCATCAGATCTTTTAACAGTAGATCAAAAACTTCTAACATTCTTCTTTTGGCCATAAATACCTCATCCCACACAATCAATTTTGCATCTCGGATTAACCCTGCAAGTGAGCTTTCTTTGCTAATGTTACAACTGGTATTTTCATCGATGTCAATAGGGATTTTGAAACGTGAATGTGCAGTACGTCCACCTGGAAGAATAGAAGCAGCAACACCAGAAGTAGCTGTTGCCAAAGCTATATATCCCATAGATCGTACAGTTGCCAATAAAGCACGGTATAAAAAAGTTTTCCTTGTTCCTCTAGGACCATCTATAAAAAAGGCACCTACTTTATTCGAAAATATCCTTTCAGTAATCAGATTATATGCAATGAGTTGATTTTTGTTTAATTTCCTATGTAACAGTATGTCATCTTCACTGACAATAATAGATCTTTCAAAATGAATCTCTTTTGCTTCTCTTGCTGCCGTAGAAGGCCTAATAGTTTCTGGAATGAGTTCATATTCATTTATATCATGACCCATAGAATGTAAAATATCGTTGATATGACTCAAAGCTTGATATCGAATTTCTCTTCTTTCAGTAATTTGTATTCATTTTTGTTTTTTTCTAGTGATTTTTTTGTTATATCAATAAATTCGAAGGTTAGATCACAGTTATCAGTAGTGTTGAGTAGTTTCTTTTTCTTTCTTTTTTTTAGAATTTAGGTGTATAAAACTAAGATCGAAAAATCATCGATAACTTTGGGTATGTAGATAAAAGCATTGTGTTGTTGGCCGCATTGTGATATGTCATCCAACAGAAGGAGAACGATATTATCTTAGATTACTATTAATGCATGTACGACGACCGACATCATATAAGGGAAACAGGAAAAACTTTTTTATACCGTACTTTATTGGCAATTGTACGATCTATGAGATATATAGCTTTGGCAACAACTACTTCTGGTGTTACTGCTTCTATTCTTCCAGGTGAACGTACTGCACATTCACGTTTCAAAATCCTTATTGACATCGATGAAAATACCAGTTGTAACATTAGCAAAGAAAGCTCACTTGCAGGGTTAATCCGAGATGCAAAATTAATTGTGTGGGATGAGGTATCTATGGCCAAAAGAAGAATGTTAGAAGTTTTTGATCTACTGTTAAAATATCTGATGAATGCAAATGCATTATTTGGCAGAAAAGTTATAGTTTTACGAGGTGATTTCAGACAGACTCTTCCTGTTGTGCGATACGGAAAAAAAAAAGATTTCATTGGCGAAAGTTTGTTATATTCTAGCATTTGGAATGAACTTGAAAAATTAAAGTTATCTGAGAATATGAGAACTAAAACAGATCCTGCATTTTGTGATTATTTGCTACGAATTGGAAATGGACAAGAACGAGTCAACTCAGCAGACAAGATTGAAATTCCAGATTCTTTGATTATTCCTTATACAACCGAAAGAGAATCTCTTGATAAATTATTCGCAGCGATCGACATATTCAAATTTGGATTTGTTATATTCTAATTCATCCTGTATAGATTCCCGTGTGATCTTGACAACAAAAAATGATTTCGTTGATGAAATTAATGACATGCTTATTGATCGATTCGCAGGAAAATCAAAAATATTTATTGCTACTGATGAGGCTATTGAATTTAACAACCAAACACAACTTGAAGATCTACTACACACTTTAAATCCTCGTGGTTTGCCTCCTTACAAATTATGTTTAAAAGAGACCTATCCAATTATATTATTACGTAATCTAAATCCATATGAAGGTTTATGTAATGGTACACGATTGGCATGTTGTGATTTAAAAGTCATGTTATTAGTGCTAAGATCACGGTAGGTGATTTCAAGAATATGCATGTGTTTATCCCAAGAATACCATTATTATCATCACAGGATGAGAAAACACCTGTTCAGTTCAAACGAACACAATTTCCTGTTAGATTATTCTTTGCTATGACTATAAATAAAGCACAAGGTCAAACTTTAGATTTTGTTGGAATTTTTTTTGCGGGAACCTGTATTTTCACACGGTCAGCTTTATGTTGCCTTATCAAGAGCAAAAAATTAAAATTGTGTAAAGTTGTTGAGTCGACACCAAATATAAAAAGAAGGGAGTTCATGAGTAGTCTTCCTAATGTACTCCACCAGAAAGGTATGCGCATTATACCAGTCACCTTGGAAGTCGGTGATTACATACTTTCACCATTGATATGTGTAGAAAGGAAGAGTATACAGGATCTATTTGGCAGTTTTGCATCTGGCCGTCTTTACCACCAGGTGGAAATGATGTCACGTTATTATCGGATTCCTGTTCTTCTTATTGAGTTTTCACGGGACAAAAGCTTTTCATTTCAGGTACATTGTGCAGTGCTACATATATTTTGCTTTGGGTCACATCTCTGTTGTAATGGGTTTTCTTTTTCTTGATAAGTTCTTATTTCCTTTGTAGTCTGCTAGTGAAATTGGTGATGACGTAACTCCAAATAGCATTATCTTGAAGCTCTCCTTGCTTGTTCTCCACTTCCCTCGGCTTCGCGTTATCTGGTCTCGCAGTCTGCATGCAACAGCCGAAATATTTGCTCCTCCTAAGGCAAACCAAGATGAACCTGATGAGGTCAAGGCAATTAGAGTGGGTGTCCCATCAGAAGAGGGTGTCATTGAAAATGATGTCAGGTTAGTCCTAAAGTTGTCTCAGCTCTAGGTCGAAGATCTGAAATCTTATTTTGATTTCTCAAGAGACAGGGGCAGATGAAATGCATTATACAGGGTTCAATGAACCCATAACTTTTGATGCGGAGTAAAAATTTATACGTAAAAATTCATTAAAATCATAAATATAGTAGATATGAACCCATAACTTTAAGAATATAACGAGGTCAATGATAAAATCTTTAAAAGTTGAACCCATAAAATTTAAATCCTAGATCCGCCTCTGTCAAAGATATATTTTAGCAGCTTGATGACATTGTCTCTTTTTCACTTTTTGTAGAGCTGAAAATCATAACACATCTGCAGTAGAGTTGTTGCGACGGCTGCCAGGCGTGACAGATTCCAACTATAGGGTATTAATGGATGGGTGCAAAAGCTTGGCGGAACTTGCCATGCTTCCAATGGAGAGGTTAGCAGAATTGATGGGCGGTCAGAAGGCTGCCAAAATGTTAAGGGATTTCCTTGATGAAAAATACCCAACCTTGCTCTAGCTCCTATTGGATTTTTTCAATGCAATTGTTCCAGGAAACCACCTAGCCATGCATACTGTTGTATCATCATCAGCACGTCCCCAGATCTTACCTGCTGTAGTCACGTCCCCAGATGGAAAAGGGTCTCATGCCTTTTCCATCATGTAGTTCTTAGGTTACATGATATTTATTGCGTGTTCATGTATTTATTATAATTTAGTTGTTGTGAGCTCAATTATGGAGCTTACCTATTGTAACTCTGTAATTTAGAAGAGAGTTTGAATTTTAAAATTGTCATCTCATTCTTAATGAGATGGTCTTATAGGCACAGACGTAATACAAGTTGTTTAAGACCGCAAATTTTAACGGTACATTTGGTGTTTGACAGAAGTTTGTCTTTCTCTAGTTAGGTCGTGGTAAGTAATAAGTTCTTTTTAGTTTGACTAGATGCACTTATGAGAGAATGAGGAGGACCAATACGACAATGGTCGTGAATGATTTATCTGAATTCATCTATATTATGGCGTTAAGACCGGGTTAAGACTGTAGGAGGAGATTCAGAACACTTCCCAGTCGTGATGGGATTACATGAAGGATTTGCACTTAGCCCGTTTTTGTTTGCTTTGGCGGAGGATGTTTTGACGCGATACATTTAAGGAGAGGTGTCATGGTGCATGTTATTTGCGGATGACATAGTACTTATTGACAAAAACGCGAGGCTGGAGGTTTGGAGATAGACGCTGGAGTCAAAAGTTTCAAGCTAAGCAAGTCTAAAACAGATTATTTGGAATGCTCGCTCATGAAGCGGACATGGAAGTGAAGCTGGATTCACAAGTCATTCCGAAGAAAGGGAGTTTTAAGTACTCCCGATCTATAATTCAAACTAATGGAGAGATTGACGAGGATATCACATGGAAGCGGGATGGATAAAATGGAGGCTTGCTTTCGAGGTTTTGTGTGATAAGAAGGTGCCACCAAGATTTAAAGGTAAGTTTAACAAAGCAGTAGTTAGGTCAACTATGTTGTATGGGACAAAGTGTTGGCATTTCAAAAACACCCATGTACATAAGATGAAAGTAGCAGAAATGAGGATGCTTAGATGGATGTGTGCGCATACCAGTATAGATAAGATTAAGAATGATGATATTCCGGACAATATGAGAGTGAGCCCCGTGGAGGAAAAGATGTGAGAAGCAAGACTGAGATGATATGGGTATGTAAAAAGGAGGTGCAAGATGCTACAATGAGGAGGTGTGAGAGGCTTTAGCAGAGCGTCTAAAGGAGAGGGGAGGCTGTTAGAATATCCCACATTGGTTTATGGAATGAGTTATTATTTTCTTATATGATTTTGGACCATCCTTACTTTCTTTGCACACTCTAAGGCCTATTTAAGCCAAAGTTCATTTTATTAACAAAAAACAAGGGTATTTTAGGGGGATGAAGTTATAGATTGGTTCGGAGAGATAATATAATAAGATGGCTTATTAGTGCAAAACTGTAAAGTAAACTGAGTACCTCTATCTGAAATGATGAAAATTGGGACACCATACAAACGAACAATCTCTCGGATATAGATCTCTGCCAACCGCTCTGAAAAATAGGTAGTATACACAGGAATGAAGTGCGCGGACTTGGTCAGTCGATCCACAATCACCCAAATAGCATCGAACTTCTTCAAAGTCCGTGGGAGCCCAACTACAAAGTTCATGGTGATCCGCTCCCACTTCCACTCTGGAATATCCATCTGTTGAAGCAAGCTACCCGGTCTCTGATGCTCATATTTCACCTACTGACAACTGAGATACCAAGCTATAAATCCTAAAATGTCCTTCTTCATTCTCCTCCACCAATAATGTTGTCTCAGATCCTGATACATCTTCGCGGCACCCGGATGGATAGAATACCGCGAGCTATAGGCCTCCTCCAGAATCAACTCCCGAAGCCCATCTACATTGGGCACACATATCCGCCCTTGCATCCTCAACACCCCATCATCACCAATGGTCACATCTCTGGCATCGTCGTGCAGAACTCTGTCCCTAAGGACAAGCAAATGAGGATCGTTTTGTGCTCCCATAATTTTCTAGGGTTGGCAGGGTTGCAATATACCAATAATATAGCAAATAAACGCCTTAAACTATATGGCATTTGGTAACTTGCAGCTTCAAACATACACTCTATTAAACTATTATCACATTGTAACAATCCTCTTTTCTCTACGGACTCTCTGAAAATACTACAATGTTTTCCATTCACTGTCAAAAGATCCTTATATGATGTCGGTCCTCATACATGCATTAGTAGTAATCAAAGATAATATTGTGCATCTTCTATTGGATGACATGTCATAATGCGGCCAACCGCACAACGCTTTTGTCTACGTGCCCAAAATTTATCACTGGAGGACCACACAAAGTATTCAGGAAATTCTTTATATAGTAAATTGAGCTCTTTAGCATCTTCATTAGTTCCGTTCATGGAGAAATATTTTGTTAACATTATTTTGAATCATCGGATTATTCACAATTGTATGTATATCCGCATTGCTCTTAAAAGAAATAAATTGTTGACCTTCAAGATGTAGTTGAAGACGATAAACACTGGGAGACATTTCACTTATTGGAAAACCAAAGAGACGCCAAACAGCTTCTGAAGGTGATACCCATCTAGCAGATCAATATTCTTTTATCTCATCTATTTCTATGTTTGTATCATTATTGTGTACACAAAATTCAATCTTATCATGTCCTTTATAAATGTATTTGTAGAGATATTTCACGACCTTGATGTCAAAGCAAACTTCAACATTTAAATGACAATTGAATTTCCCAAGTAAATATGGATTGTACGGAACAACCCAAGAGTTATCTAAATATCGTTCTCTTAATTTCACAACTTCCCCTGTATTTTGTCTTCTATAGACTGGATACGAATCGTTTCCTTTTATTGTCTGATCGGCAAACATTTTTGGATATTTGAACTTGTAGTAACCCTTTTTTTTCATACAAGAATTTGTTGGGTCTAAACTACCGCAAGGACCGTGCATCATATGTTTGATGACACGCTTACGCAAATCTGATTCTGTCTTATCATCTGGTAATTCTGCTCTAATAATAACATCGTATGCCTATGTTGTCAGCACTTTGTGCTCATTACCTATTATAATAAGAAAATGAGCATGGGGTAAACCTCGTTTCTGAAACTCCACAGTGTACATAAAAGCAACAACTTTTTCTAAAGATATTTTGTTTTAATATATCCGTCTTTAGTTCTTCTATTTTAGCCTTGAACACTCGAGTAATCAAATCAAGTTTATTTGTGCCTCGTCAG